TGTAGGCAACCCAAGACATGATACGTGTGACTCATGGAGAATGCAACCGCATGATGAAACCGCGCTCACGGGGTGTGCTGAGGCCCATGAAGTAGAGGGCTCGCCCGTTTCGAGAGGCTAGGTGTGCGCAGCCTTTGCGCCTCTGAGAATCAATCGTTGCAGCAGATGTTGCGCCTCTCGAGTCTTGGAGTTTGGCACGCCCAGGAGCAAGGACGCTACTAGGGGCTCCTGGCATCGCTACTAGGAGCAAGAACGCTAGTAGGTTGGAGGCCATCTCTATTGAATGGCACATTGATGCCTTGCCTTTTCCTGGGTTTCGTTAGGTGTGGCGCCATCTCCTACAGATGCCAACGAAGCAGCCAACTGAGAAGTGCCAATTTACAAGTGCTGCCCTCCACATTTTAGCACCTGTCAGGTCTGCCAGCCAGAAGGCAAGAACATACCATGCGAATTTGTACCCCCTTCAGCATCTCGTCTCGTCATTCTGCAGGACTTGCCGCCACAGTCACGGCGGAGGATCGGATGAAACAGAACGCTACTAGGGGCGTCCTTGTTACTACTAGTGCACTTGTTACTAGAAGCGATGCACTTGTTACTAGTAGTTTCTTGCTCCTAGTAGCGATGCCAGGAGCCCCTAGTAGCGTCTCAAGAGGAAAGCTGTGCTTTTTTTCTTTGTACTTGTCTCATTCTTGTCTCAAGCTGTGCTTTGAATGTGGCTCAGAGGTTCAAGCGGATCTGGATGTTGCAAACACCCTGGTGGTTGTGTACCGAAGGCTGGCAGAGGTTCAGAGACATGGACTTTCTCGTACTTGCTCTATGTCTATGCTTGATCATTCACGATGATTTGAGAGCCTCCATGTGGAGAAACGTGTGCGCTGTGTTTAGACCCTGTCAGATGATTGTCGCGCATGACCTTGACACGCAACCTTTTTCGTGACCTGTCGTGCCCGCAGCTTGAGAAAACGATCGTGTCGCCATGGCGGTGATAGAGGCCTTCCGCATTCAACCAGTTTCTGGAGAGGAAGATGACATGAGCCCTCAGAATCCTAGGGCCGACCTCTGCTCCAACACGTCCTACATGGTTCCAGGAGACGTTCTCCATTTCTGTCGGCTTCGGACTGGTGGAAGCCTTATACTTTGGTTTCTATCCAGATCGCACTGGGATGCCAAGCTTCCAGGGAAGGCAGATTTGCCTCTTGGCACTTCCAGTTGGCGACCTGAAAATTAACGATGTTTCTGATGGGCACATCATCAGAGAAGTCAGGCACGGGGCAGAGGATGTCCGCAAGGCAGGTAACTTCTCTTGTAAAGCGAAGGTGATCGTGGTGGAGGGCCCCATTAAGCAGGATTGGATTTTAGCAAGAATGGATCTTCAAAAAGCCGTCGAGGAAGTGATGCATTTGGACCGCCAGACAGTGAAAAACCTTGCAGAAAATGCACATTAGTCGCACTTGTTGAAAGTCAAACTGAGGTCAGGCCACACATGTTGTTTCCTGAATCACACATTTTGTTCACGCCAGACCCCTTTTGCAGCCAAGGCCAAAAAGGGAATGGATAGCTTTCACGGGGACCAAAAGCTTCGGGAGGCTGTCAAGCGGCTTGAGGGCCACTTGCGTTCTCGAACTACGAAGATGCCGCCGTATCCTCAAGCGGGTGCACTCTACATCCCTACAGATGATGGCGAATCACCCTTCCAAGAACGTCTTGGTGGCCCTATGTGTTTTCCGTCTTGGCCTCTGCCCCTTGCAACAAGAAACAGGAATTCTTTGGACCTTTAGACATTTCTTTATTGTTTTTGTCTTTGTATATTGCTTCAGAGGCCAAGGCATTTGATTCAAACCTCTACTAGGCCCAAGACCCAATGAATCTGACTTGTGCAGATTTGAGCTGGAAAGTGTACAAGACAACAGTTGCCTTTGCCTTACCAGATTCAACGCACGAAAGGCCCAGATTGAATCGTCAAACCCAGGGATGCACCAGAATACAACATATTAGGCGCATCCATAGTACAGAGCCTCATGGCAGAAATGGCGAGGCTGCCGTCAAACAGAAGCGGCGGCACGTCTTCGCTGGAGGTTTGCACCCTGCTTGTGGATAGGAGTTGCTCTCGTTTCTTCGCTGACGTTTTGGTGCAGTGTGAGCAAAAGGCATGTGATGCGCACTCGGACACTTGGACATCACAGCAGCTCCAACCACGAAACTGACTTTGATGCACTGCAGGGGTTTGTTGCAGCAGATGGAAGACTTGGAGATAGAGAAGGCAACTTGGGCTTTGCCGTTCATCCTTTCTGCTTAACATGGATTGCAACTGAATAGACAGGCGACTACCCTATGACAAGGAATCTTCCTGTTGTGATTGTAACAGATTATGAATATTCTTTGCATTCAGTCGGCATCTTCCCAAGGCTTTGCTGGAAAAGCGAGCGATGCGTGAGCTTCAGGATGTGCCAAGTCGGGTCCGCTGGAATGAGGTATGAGTCGGTATGAGGTAAGTCCAAGTCGATCCATGTGTCAAAACCATTCCGCAAACTTACAAGATCAGTTGTGAGAATGTCCTCAAACATATTCGTTGTGTTGCTCTCCCCATCTCTCCATAGATGGATGGCTGCGTGTATTCTGAACGTTTGCCACGAACTGAGCGTCGCCAAGAGGATTTGGAATCCTTGGTAAAGCATCTTGAAGAGGAAAGGCGGAGGCCAGTGATCACAGGGTCGATTGAAAGCCGTAAAAGGCTGACAGTTGCAGGCTTGAACAGATTCATGAGGAGGATCGCGCATGATTACGGCAGGAAAGCTGCGAAGCAAGCAGAGAACAGACTTGCGCCAAAGCCCACAGCCAGAGAGGCACACTCTTGATGGAGAGCAGTCTAGCAAGCGAATCGGACCTAGGAGATCCTGAAACATCGGTTTGTAGGTGTTCTTTTGCACGCTCTCCCCGTCTCTCCTTTAAGTAAGACACTCTAGTTAGCTACTAGACTAAGTTAGCTTCTAGTAGCTGCGTAGCTGGACGCAGGATAGCTCATGCTTCTTCAAGGAAGTTCCCACTCCTGAGGGCGGGGGGAGCTTCCTTGAAGAAGCGCTCACACTATTCAATTGGTTCCTAGATTCTTTATAAGCCTTACGCGAGAACCAGCTTTCGGCACAGATGACAGGAGTCTGAAGTCGCTGGCGATTGGCAAGGACTGAGTCATAAGCTTTTCTGTTCGTTTCTTCGGCAATACTGACAGGCTTCGCCAACCGGCGACGTTCCTGGGGGGACTGCGCGTATCCGCAGGCTCTTTGCACAGCAAAATCCGACGATTAGCACAGCTTCTTACGCCTGCGCATACACACTCCCACACAGGTGTGCGCACGAGGATCTGGTGGAAAAAGCCTGGCAACCTCAGCTTCAGACACTCGTACGCACATGCACACTCGCACACGCACCCGCGCCCGCACGAACGCACGCCCGCACGCCCGCACGCCAGCACGCCCGCACGCAGGCGTGGGTGCGGGGGCGCGGGCACACCCAATGGCCGAAGTTTGAGCCGCCTTTGCGTCCACGAGCCTTGTAAGCACAGATTCAGATAGCTTGAGGCTAGAAATGCTCAAAAAAATCATTTTTTTCCCCAGGGAATCAGACAACTCGGGTTGTCAAAAAGCAGGCCATTCTTTAGAGCTCACCATGCATTTTTTAGGGTTCACCATGCATTTTTTAGAGTGGCAGCGGAGTGTGATTCTTTAGAGGTGCTCTTTTTGCCACACGCTCGCATCTTTCAGCCTGGAGATCAATGCCAATGGCATCCAATGGCAATGCCTTTATCAAAAGTGAGCATGTCATAACATCACAATGTTCAATGATGATCACTCTTCAAACATTTTCTTATATATGCCTCATCATCCACCATTGCCATAATCAGAAGGTCGACAATGGTCGACAATCCAAAAACCAATGAAAGCTCATGTCTTTGTGTTTTCTATTGTTTTTGCATGGCTTTGGGGTGAAAATGCACCAGCATGCTATTTCATGGGGCCTATCCCCCTAAAGAATCAGAACCCAGCCACGTGTCCCAGTCTAAAGAATCAGATGGCACGCATGGTCTAAAGAATCAGGCCCAGTGTCTAGAACGCTGGTTGGGCAAGGGTGCATCCTGCCACCCCACAAGTTCCCAGGATCCCCCAGGCATTCCCGTATTAGAACCTAAAGTTTCCCGGGGAATCCTAGGGGCACCCTTGCCCATCTGATTCTTTAGACTGGGACACGTGGCTGAGTTCTGATTTTTTAGGGGGATAGGCCCCATGAAATAGCATGCTGGTGCATTTTCACCCCAAAGCCATGCAAAAACAATACAAACGCAAAAAGACATGAGTTTTCACAGGTTTTTGGATCGTCGACCTTCTGTTGGGATTCTGGGAACTTGTGGGGTGGTAGGTGGCTGGGTTCTGATTTTTTAGGGGGATAGGCTCATGATATCCCCCCAAATGAGGGTAACATGTGGTCTAAAAAATCAGACTCTTCCAGATGAAGATGAAGATTCATGGCAACTTACGATTCTTTACTGGAATATTGTTGCAAAGTGTATTTAGTGCATTTTAGGACTTGATTCTTTAGACATGTACATCCCTTACACAACCAGTTCGAGACACAGAGATTTGATTGTTTAAGGTGTTATACCCGATTGTACTGGGAGCTGGGGTCCGTACAGTCTTTATGGGCGGATTGGCCCTTTCTTAGCCAGATCATGTGGATAGATTTGAAGGGCTGAGCTTCAAATTCAGGCCCAAGCAGTCAACCCTTAGGACAACTTGGTGCCCCAAATCTACTAGGACGTAAGAAAAATTACGTCCTAGTAGTTTTCTTGATTTTTGAGTTCGCACAGATGCGAGTTCTGACAAGTTTGAACATGTTTGAACCTATTTTGTATTGGATGGTAGATTGCCGTGATCATGGACAAACCACTTCGGTTACAATCCTTCAACAGCCATCATCATGGACTGGTACGTGTGTGGAGTGGGTGTTCCCATTCTTTAGAGGGAGTCCAGGTTCCAAAGAGGTGTGTGCACTGTGCTCAACGTGTTCTGATTTTTTAGGGCCAGTGCCCAGTATGTGTTGGCAGAGTCCTGATTCTTTAAGCTACCATGTCGGTATGGGCACTGTGGATCGAGGATTCTTTAAGGTGGCAGCTGGCAGTGGCCACCTGGGTGTGCCTAAAGAGTCAGACAGCCCAAGAGAGAGGCCGACTTGCAAGGGGGATCGTTTTTTTTTTTAGCGTTTTCCACTACGAAGAAGCCGTAAAAGCCCAGGTGGTGCTAAAAATGTCGGCCGCAAACCGACAGTTTGAATATGACCAGGACGTATGCATTTACTCGAAAAACGTAAAAGCAGATGGAAAATGATCAAAAATGGCTACTGTAAAGCTTTATCTCTAGAGAAGAAAGTACGCAAAGGGGAGAGGAAGTTTTGAAGTAGCACTTGTGTCGAGCACCATTGGCATCACAGGAGTACGCGCAGCATTGCAATGTTTTGCGCCTAGTCATGCACCAAAGGATTTGCATCTTTCCTGCTGAGACTCTGCTGATGCTAATGATGCTCGACCAAAAATTGTCCTCAAAATTTGTCTCCATTTTCAATGCTTTATTCACCAGACAGTGTGGACATACTTAGGGGTTCTTACAGTAGGTGTTAAGCAGCTGTGCTTAGATCGCTGTGCCGCGCGGCCGTGTCCGCTGCTATTTACAGTGGATTCGTCATGTTTCTCAAAATCCTCGATGTGCATTTCGACTGCGTAGGCTCGCGAAATCTGGGCGGCGGCGGCGAGTGCTTGTTGCGACCTCGCACTCTCACTCTCACACTCTCACCCTCACTCACACCCACTCACTCACTCACTCACTCACTCTCACTCCCACTCTCACTCTCACTCTCAATCTGGAGTTGGCAAGGCCACGGTCCACAGGCTACCGCCCAACCCTGCGGTGCCCCAGGCGCCGCCCCGCCTAGGTGTCAGCTAGGCCGGGGTCGGTGGACATTTCAGCACAGAGCGCAGAGCATGAGAATTGCATATCTTGAGAAACAACAGGGAAGAGCTGACCATCCAAATTGTGGCGTTCTTTGTTATCCGTCCGCAATAGTGTGATTATCACTCGATCCAAGAACTGTTTGCCCATCAACTTCTTACTTGGCTGCGACGTCATTGTGTTCGAAAGTGAACGGCTAAGGAGGACAGTCTTCTCACTTGCATGGGCTTTCACACGACTGCCGCAGGCGAGGATGATCTTCCTCCGGTGGTTCCGGTGGCGGTGCAAAGCGCTTGGTTTGCTGCACAGAAGGTGGGATGGTGAGTGAATGCTGTAATACTTTTAAGGGCTAAGTAAATCCAGCCAAGCTCCTGGTGTATGATGAGCAAGTTTCACGGTGAATGGATTGGATCATTATTCTTTCGCATTCGCTCCACAACATCCTTGCAGTTGGCAATTTTAGGTGGAATTCCATGACATCAGCTCCGATGGTGAAGAGCAAGAAACCCATCAGTTTTGGCCTCATATAATGGTTGGCTTGAGTTGTAAGCATGAGACCGGGAAAGAGAGTGTTTTTGTGATGCAATCCGACGATCTGTTTGCTGAAATCCACTTTTGAGTCCACATCTTTGTTATGAAAAATGTCGTGCGTTTTGCAAATCCGAGGCCACCAGAGACAGACGATGTACAGGAGCATTGAGAGGATGTTCTTTACACTCATCAGCTCCCCCAAATGGTGTCGGTCGCACTGCTCGGTTTCACTTTTGTATTTCGCAGTACCCTGCGGGGCTCCACTACGTCCAGCGCGTGGCAGAGCTTGAAGCGCAGAGTGACGAGCTGAAGCTGTAGCTCGGCTACAGCGCTCAACACACGCAAGCGCACTTGTCAGGGTCAAACTCGCGTTTGACAGCAGAGGTATTGCTCAACTCACCCCCCAAATGCTCTCATTGTTTGCGGCCCCAATGGATTTTGCGCCAGCACAGGGACCGTGGAAAGGAGAGCAGTGCACCTGGCCAACTGTCAGAAAGAAATACGGTGTACAGATTGATTTTATTGTCTAAGGTCCTTTTCAATCCTTTTCATACAAAGCATGCACGAAAGTCGAGCTTCAGGAGACCTCAAAACAATCGATGTATGACGAACACACATGTGCAAAGTACAAGGCCAAGAGCAGACAGGCTTGTGCCTTGCACGGTCGAACTACGCTTTGACCGGCGCAGAACTGAACGGATTGATGGGAGTGCCTGGTCAGTCTAGAGATGCCGCAAGGCTTGCTAAGGCCGGCTGCCCTGGGATTACTGTAGTTGTGGGGCAATGAAGAACCAAACGCATCGAAAAGGACCTTAGAAGCTCGCCAAGTCACGACCCAGTCGTCTCGACCATCGCTAGTAGGTTGGAGGCCATCGCTATTAGGTAGGTAGGGGTGCAGAGAGCAACCATGCACTATTTGGTTTAGTAACAGATGCATCGCTACTAGTAAGCAAGGCATTACTAGTAGTAACAAGGGCAGTAGGTTGAACCGATGATTAGAGATCGCTAGTAGGAAAGAAGTTACTAGCAGCAAAGGGCATCGCTACTAGGAGCAAGCACGCTACTAGTAGCTCCTGGCCTTACTAGGAGCAAGGACGCTACTAGGAACAAGTGCATCGCTTCTAGTAACAAGTGCCTTACTAGTAGTAACAAGGACGCTATTAGACATATATAAGGACTAGTAGCTTCTTGTTTCTAATAGCTTCTTGTTACTACTAGTGAGGCACTTGTTACTAGAAGCGATGCACTTGCTACTAGGAGCAAGGACGCTGATGAGTGATTTTGTTTAGTGATCTCCGAGGCGTCTCGAAGAGCTCCATGCCTCAGAAAGTGCAATGCGCCGGGAGAGCCAGGCCGGAGTCTCGGGGAAAACTCGTTTTTTCCGGTGGTCCGAACTGCATTGTCTCTGGTTTTGCTCGGAAAAGGCTCCTTCTTTGCAAAGAACATCCATGGAAAACCTTCTCTGAAATTCCTGATTTGGAAGAAAAGCCAACCAACAGGAGAAGAATGACCTGATCACCGTGCTGCTGCAAAAGGCATCTTGGGATCTTGAAAGCAACTTTTCTGGAAAAGTCAATAGAGCCCTGAAGTTCATGACATGGTGCACTGTGACCACTTTGTTTTCTTTGGTGTGTTTTTGTTCGCTCGAGAAACACACACAATGCACAGAAGTTCTTGATTATTCAGCCGTTGTTGTGTTTTCATATTCTTTCTCTATCAGGCCAAACTGCCGAACTCCGAGACTGGCCTGGGCCTTTGGGGAGATCTCTGCACACGACGATTCTCCGGGGAGCAGACGGCGAAGGTTTTTGTGGCACACTTCATGCTGGAAGGTTTTGATGTAGTTACCAGCAAGTCTGGAGGAGGCCATCGCTATTCGGTTGGAGGCCATCGCTCTTGGGAAGAGTACTCCTAGTTACTTCATGCTGGAAGGTTTTGGTGTTTTCCACCTCTCGTTCTTCGTGTTAGCAGAGGTGTGTGGCGAAACCGCAAAGCAGCTTCCGAAGAGGTCCCGATCATGGTCGCGACGTGGTCGTTTTGCAATTTTTGCTCCGCTAGAAACAAGGACGCAACTACTTGCTACCACTTTAGTCAGTTTGTTTCTGGATGTGACATGTTGCAGGAAGCTCAAGAGCTTGAGAGGATTGTAGAGGAGACGACCGAGGACAACATCCGTCTCAGGACACGCTGACTCAAACGCCATTGGAACATCTACGAATATGATACTATTTACATCTATTTACAAATATTTAAACATATTTGCAACATTTGCCGGGGTCATGTCATGGAAAACAGTATAGGCATCTAAGATCAGCATCTCTTCCAAAGTTGAGGTCTGGGAACGCCATGCTATTCTGTGTCTTTGGTTGTTATGGTGAGGAACGACATCAAGATCATGTCGGATGAGTTGCGGAAAGTCCTGCTGCGAGAAGTTGGAGAGGCCAGGACGCCAAAGGCGCCTGGAATCAAAAAAGCGCCGATTTTGCACAAATTTCTTGCAACATCTTGCAACTAATTTCCGGTTTGGTGGCGAAACCGGTCAGGACAGACCAACGGTCGACGATGAATCATCCCAGTTTCTGCTTGCACTTGCTTTGGCTCAAGTACCCGCGTGCCGCATTTTGTCGGGACAGAAAGAGCAAGGTGGACTAGGCATGTCATTAGCTGGGTTTGACAGTGCCAGCGAAGCCCAGCAGTGAAAAACTCAAGTTCATGATAGTTTCCAACTAGGAACACATTCGCAAGCGCGGCTTTTTGCCCGTACTGTTCTATTTCAAGCTCAGGCGAATGTCTCAACACCTTAGTAGCTGACCTACACACAATGTCCTAAAAAGTCTTGGTCAAGATGTTGGGCAGTTCGCAATTTTTCCTAGTTCTTCATTTCATGACATCCAACGTATCTATATATACACGCGTCTGAGCATTTGAGGATGTTGGCGGCCCGAGTACCGGCTGACATACGACAGATGAGACACCATGCAAAGACTTCCTTGAAGCGGTGGTGTTTGTTCCATCGAGTCTTCAATCGCGTTTTGGAAATGTTCACCTGATCATTGAACTGGATGCTAATGCTGGAGCTGAATGAGAGTATATGAGAGTGCTTCATGTGAAGAATGGTTTGTTGTGGCATCAGAGTAGTCTAGTGCCGCTGGAAACAACTTGATTGAAGAGATTAGTCATAGGGCTTGAAGATAACACCTGTTGCAAAATGAACGGCTTCACTGGTGCTTGGAGAGACCTGATTTCAACTGACGATTCTCCACCTCTTCAGGGCTGCATGCGCCAGCACCTACCCAGATCAAGCAGCCAGCATTCAAGAACTGTTTTGTCCTGGAACAACCCTGATAGGAAACAAGGAAGGAGCTTGCAGCCAAACAACATTACTTCATTCTTCTTTGACTCTTCATGTTATTGATTTCTTGTTCACGCTTGGTATGCCCATCCGCAAAGAGGTAGCTTTGACGGCCCCACGCTTTACCCCATTCTTATGCCCAGGCAACTTGGGCTTAGAAAAGACCGTGTCAGAAAAAATCAGAAAGGCCAAGAAGACACTTGCTGTTGGTGTAGTCATGTGTTTACATTCGACCATTTGATGTCGGTTGATAAAGGTTGCTGGGCTTGTGGGGACAAAGATGCCTCTTGGAACGGAGGAGAGACATTCTCCTTTGCATTCGCAAATAGGCGCAAGCGGCTCCAGAGCTCATTATTTGTGTTCGAACCAAGGTTTGCAGGGTTTACCACCAAATGTGATGATAAAACAGTGAGTTCGTCCATATTGTCCCTTCAACCAACCCACTAAATACTACAATCAGAAACATTTTTCCTTAGCTTCTCGCAAAGCAAGAAACTAACCTAGAATCTGGCTGCGGTGATTGCTGTAGAGAGGCTGGTTTCCTACCACAAAAGGACCTCAAATCGTTGAACGTAGACTGGCGGGATAAATGTCCATAAACAAGTTTTTATGATTCCCGAATCTAAATACTCATACTTTCTGTTTGTTGGTGAGAGCAATTTTGCTATGCAATGGCGTTATGTATCCTACTTGCTGAACTTGGTCCTGCTAGCCCTGCTGGGCTCTTCCCTTTCAGCCGACTGGGTTTATCGTTTCCCGTTTCAGCCAACCCCCTACCTGGAAAATGAGCCGAACGGCACTTCGCTGAGCGGCATTGCGGTTCAGCCACTTCAGCCAGAGCTAAAAGGCTTCGAACCAGTGGGTTTGGTGATCGTGGCAGATGGCAACTTTCGCCAGACCTACCAATGGCAAATTTCCAGCATGAGATGCTATGCGCAGAAAAATGGCTACGATTTGTGGCTGCTACATGGAGACGAATTTGAGGAGTGTGGAGAAAAGTATTATGCACCTGGAAATTTTTTCTTTCAGAAACATTGTGCAGTGGCTGCACTGCTGGAAGAACAGCCTGCAAGCTACACAGTGGCGGTGATGGATGCCGATGTGGTGGCGGTAGTCCTTGATCGGAACCTGAGCTACTGGCTGCAACATGGAGGTGATCTACAATTCTACGGCCGAATCACCGGTGCCGAAGTGGCGTCAGGCAGGCCGGTGCCGAAGTGGTTCGCCCCAGAAATCGTAGTTTTCCAATAGCGTCCTTGCTCCTAGTAGCGATGCCCTTGCTCCCAGTAGCTTCTTGTTCCTAGTAGTAAGGCCAGGAGCCCCTAGTAGCGCCCTTGCTCCTAGTAGCGATGCCCTTGCTCC